GTCACGTTTGGAGTTTATGATAAAAATCATCAAAATGATCTTTTCATTGAAAATAAAATATATGGAAAAAAAAATAGCATTGATTCACATTCAATAATCACAAGTATATATAGTGTCCATATAGTTTCGTGTTTACTCCTTAGTATTCGTCCATGATTTGTTGGGATTAAAATTAAACTTTTAACAGATTTTTATAAAAAAAATTGATGAAATATATAGTTGAAAAGTTATGGATCTCATAAAATATGTGATTAAAATTAATCGTTGACTTTAACTTAAAATTAAAATTTGAATATTAAATACTACCAAACAAGAACTTTTGTGTTAGCATATACACTAATGTTATACGTCACCAATGACAATATTGTGCATGACCAGGGGCGAACCCATTAAGGGTCTAGTGGGTGCAATTGCTCCAACTGGACCCTTCAATTTTTTACATTGAAAAAAAAGCTTACATAATTTTAGCCCATGATTTTTTAACCGAAACCCAACAAAGTCAGTCTATTTTAAAATTATTTTTTACATAATTCTATCTCGCCTCCATTGGATCATAATCTCGGGTTCACCCTCTGCGAGATAACATATGAATGCATACATCCAACGGAATATTTAGCACGTAATTGATTTTTTCAATTGTTCCATTTTATGAAAAGTGCGATGCATGTCAATTTATTTGGCACGTAATTAATACCCCAGCTAAACATTCCACTAGATTACTTGCCATCCACGTCGTTGTTCTAATTTACAGTTGTGAATCTTGTGATTAGTCTATTTGCAGATATACCACCAGAAAGTACTGAAAAACGAAGCTGGCTAAGGAAGAAACTAAAACGGCTACTCCTTTTTACGAGCTAAATGTTCCTCTTTCATGCATGCATAAGAGCCTGCATTAAACTGAAAAAGAAACAATTTCTATAAACTGAAAACAAAGTTCAAGTATTTTTAATTCTGTAAAGATAATGCTGGAAATTTTTGACAGCTATACACATTCATTAATTTCAAGAAAAGTTCATGCATTTTCTTCAAATGGTGAACATGTGAGAAAAACAATTACTTACAAATTCAAGAAAATTTTGCAACACTTTTGGTACAAAGAAGAGAAGAAAAACAATAGTAATATATTTTCCTTTTCTATCGAAAAATGGCAAAAGTCACACTCTATGAGAGGAAAAATGGAAAAAATTATCCGAAAAACAAACAAAGGTCGCAGTCTATGTAACCAATTATGCATTTTCCAATCACGTGAAAAATAAAATTTTACTTGCCCTTGTGAAAGTTCTAATCACTCCCAGGATTAATTACATCACTCTACATGTGTAACTATTGTAAATATTTTTTTAGAGGGTGGTTTCGTGAATATGTTAATTAATTTCGATTAATTATCGATAATACTCCTTATCCATTAAAAGTTGGATGACACTCAATGATCTTGTTACTATAAAAATGATGCTAGGGACGTTATCGATATAAAAGTTACTAATCAATCACCATCTAGAGTTTTAAGGGTACAATCTATCAAGTAAAATAGAAATGATTGGATGGTAGAGTCGTATAAATCAATTTCTTCCTTTTTTTTTGATGGATCACGAAATATGGTTGTCTCATCGATAAATAGAAACACGGGATATCTAATCATTCTTGATAGATTCCTTGTCTATCTCTTTTGATCTATTAGAACATATTTATAAAAAATGTAAACGAGAAGATATAACTCACACAGATGCACAGGAACAAGTGTAAACGAGTTTTACTCGAAAATACCATGGCTGGTTAGTGAAGGACCCAGCTTATTGATGCAGAATGCATGACCTCGTGTTAATTAATTGCGTTCTCTTCACTTTACATTTGAAGCATAAACCGATACGCTGTTGTGTATGTAATAGGCCCTGAGCACTTGCATCCCCTGGAAAGGAAACAAGATAAAAATATCAAATAAACTCAAAATCAAGTTGAACATTGCTTTGCAAAATGAAATGTTACATAATTAAAAAGCACACGGGGAAGATTATTTAGCATGTACAGAGAAGTTTAGAACCTACGCGATGGGTAACAGTTTTGTACAAATTATAATAATGTTTATGGTTCAGTTTGTGTTTTGAGGAGGATAAATTTCCCATAGGGCCACAGTAGTGTCTTCTGAAGATGATGCCATCAGTTTGCTATCATCTGAGAATGAGACAGCAGTACACTGCAAAACCAGGAAAAAATGCTTCAAACATATAATCAACTGATCATTCTCTGAATATAGATAAAAGTTTTGCAAATAGAAAGAAAGAGAAATACAAACATTCGCCCACTAGATGCAGTCATCACATGTCAGGGTTTAGAAAAATGAAATCACTCCATATTGCTAAGTTAATGCGTTTTTGAAGCATAGTGTTTCTCATCAAATTAGCTAAGGGTTGAGGGGGGACTCAGAATATAGCTTTTATGTTTTTATTCGAAAATACCCCAAAACCGTAGGCAAGCTAATCTGAGTTTACGTATGAACAAAATTTCTTGAATGTTATAAAGAGGACATATCATAGTTAGTGTGCCATCATTCCCAAGGGCAGGCACAAGATTGGTTTTTTATTCCAAGAGTTGTCTGAGTCTAGTTTGAAATTGTAAGACGACCACCTAGACTAAGGTGTAGGTTGGTTTCCCTTGCCAACAAGTTCAAAAGAGTGTTGCTGCTCAATAAAGTTGTTAAAAATATTAAGGGAGGATCTTGTTATTTATATAATGATTCTCTTCCTTATTGCTCCTTTCGACAAACTTTTCTATTGCAAAAACATAATTTTTACTAGTCAGATAAATGGTGTACTGAACATGTTGCTAAATATTTGTACTGCACTTAGAGTGTGATAGCTAGAGTAACTTAAGATATTTTACACAGATTCTACAGAGAAAATCCTGGGTTCCTTGTGTCTGCAATATGCTGGTGCTAAAATAGATATGACATCTTGAAACCAAGTTAGTTTCAGAGTCTCTTTATGATGGTGAAAGTACTCACAGCTAAGAAACACAAAGACGTGAACAATTATAAACTGAACAGCATTTGCATTCATGAACCCAGCAGCAACAAAATTTGGATTTCAACTTTAATACAAAGATCATGTCAAATATTAATTATTCCAGGCGAGCTAAGTCGAAAAAATGATACACAGACACATGTATACCCGCTCACACACTACTTAAATACAGAAATAAAAATTCACTTTGCAAATTAATGGTTTTATGTAAAAATTAAGGAGAACATATATCATTAGGAACATATTCAATAAATATAGGTTTCATTGTTTAATTAATTTTAAACTGTCAATTAGAAATCACAACATACCAAGGCACGATGATATTTCAATACGGCCAAAGCATTTCCTTTGCGATAGTCATATATCCTCACCCTGTCACCACATGATAAAAAATTTGTTTTGCGACAGTTGCAAACAAATTGATCATTAGAAAATCCGTGATCCGAGAATGAATGCACATTTATTTTCCATGACAAATATGAGGATGCAAAAATGTTGAGCAGGCCCGGTGGTTAAGGCTTCAACCTCCCAGCAAGTGGCTGTATGATTCTTAAGTGTTAGGGTAGGGAGGAGTGGAGGGTTACCCCCTTTGTTTCAAGACATTGGACAAAAAGAAAAACAGAGAGAGACTAACTTTCAAGATTAACAAGCTAAACTTTAAACTATGGAAAGACAAGAAATAAAGAATCCCAACAAAATCGAAAACCTTCTACTCATATTGTACAGGTACTGACCACCATAAATATATTATGGCAGCATAAATGATGAAGGAAACACTTCCCTCCTTGCTTGTATTTTTCACTTAACAGTAAAATTTTAAATTCTAAATCAATGTCTTCACAGAAAAATATACTATGTAGCACTTTTATCAGCTAAACTTGAATGCAACAGAAGGCCATTTGATAAGATTGGACATTTGAAACTTTCCACAGGTATAACAGTGTGGTTTCATAATGCATCACGACATAGATACACACACCCACAGAGAGAGAGAGAGAGAGAGAGGTCTTATCACTAACCTGTGGTCCCAGCCAGCAGTTGCAATAATTTTGCTGTCTGGCCGGATTGAAACTCCTGCTATGCCAGGTCTCTCCAAAATAATTTCTTTCTTAACCAAACAAGAACCCTGAGTGCATTAAACAATATAATTTCCAGGATAAGTTACCAATAATGCAATAAAGTAGAATTCTTTGAAGAGTAACTGTGACCTTAGGAATTAATTCTTCACAGAAAATCAGTATCAACCAAATGCTCCCTCTTCATTGCAAAACCAATTTGGCATGCACTCAGTCAATTAGTAAGGACCTTATTTCTAACTGAAACCGATATCATTTGACAAGCTAAATGCTGACATTTTTGCAGTGAACATGACAGTTCTCTGTTTTTTTTCTGTAATAAGCTTTTGGCATTGATATTTACTTTAAAAAATGGATAGAAGATGTTTTCAAGTTATACTTACCGTTGAAGGATTCAAAGTAAATATTATGATTCTGTCATCAGCAGCTCCAGAGACCCCTCCTCTACATGAATTATCGACACATAAGCTTAGAACTGCAGAAAACGCAGCAATTTTCGTGACAATTTAAAAGAAAAAATGCAGAAAATTATTGTCTAGAAAACCATGCCAGCAACATCACACCTGGTTCAGAATGAAATTTGACAGAAGTCAATGGCAAGGCTGGATTCCTTAAATCCCACCAAACCATGGATCCATCCTCATAACTATGACATTAAAGGAAAAAAGTTAAGCAAAATTTATACTACTACTTGAAGAAATGATGCTATGCAAGTTTAACATATATACATTTCATGTGTAGTTCTTTAAAGATGCAATACCTTGAGCATTATTTCTTCCCTCTAGTTTTTGAAACTATACCAGAAACCAAAACTTGACAAAATAGCCATGACACAACACAAACATGCAAGTGAATTGAGGAAGAGCTAAAATATCTTGGTAGTCATGCAAGTGAAACTGTTCAAAGTGTTTACAATTTCTAACACTCATTTTCTCCTCTCCCCCTAAAAATTAAATGCTTAAGTAGATAAAGAAATATAAGAATGCGGTATGAATGTTGGCAAAATGAGATTGTCCACCATCTCTGCAAGTAATTTTGATTTAGATCGTGACGGACGACAAGAGATGACTGACCTTAAGGTAACAGGAAGATGGGATTGATCGAGGGGTTCCCCAAGCTGAACCCCCCCCCCCACCCCACCCCACCCCAAGAAAAAATATTATTTAAAAAAACAAGCTTGTTATTTGGAAATTTTTATTCTACATATTAGCCCAGCAAAAATTTTGACTCCCCTCTAGCTCTGCCCCTAGGATTTATATATTAGACACATTTGGTATAGAATGCACAACCTGTCAAGCTTCATTTGAGAAAATGCCTAACATGGCAGTTTTTCTTTTCGGTACTACCATGTCAGGTGAGTGAAAAAATAAATCAAGATCTTTTTGTTTTTTAATATTCTTGTCTCAGGACAGACAAGCTAGACAGGCCACTTTCAATTAAGTAATTTATCCTCGAAATTCAAACAACCAATTATCAGGCACCATGACAAAAAATGCTCATCAAGCATACTAAATGCTGCATAAAGGTATTGGTTTTCTCAGATTCCAAGATTTGAGCATGTGAAGCATACGATGACAAAGATAACACACACAAAAATGAAGCACAACTTTGAGGAATCGAAGTTCCATGGTAACTGCATGTAAACTAAATCAAAATCCAGGAAATGCAAAACTCACTCCCTAAGCATATTCAAGCATGCAGGCAAAAACTAGATTGAAATTACAGAACATAGAGAATCTGTTGGTAGTGAGAATGTTGATATACTATTGATATCTCTGTATACTGACCCAGATAAAACATTTAGATGCCCCTGTGATTCAGAAGGTAAAAAAGCTTGAACTGCCAAGCACATTCCTGGGACAAAAAACAACAAATAAGTAGGGGATCAAATTTTTCTGTGAAAACGAGAACACAGTGTGTAAGATTAGGTACCACCGCATCATACTTGAACTCTACTAAAGCTAACAGTGACAAAAACCAGAAAGTGACCAATAGACACAGAATTTTGAAGAAACACATTGAGAACCGAGAGAAAAAGTAGCATCTGAAACATTCTGATAACACATGCAATGTGTTACTATGATGCTTGGACTTGGGTAAAGGTATCGGGTACATATCTAAGTGTCGAATATTTTATTTTCTAAAATATAGGATACGGGGATATAGCTAAAAAATGTCCAAATTTCGGACACGGGGTACATGAGTGCGTCTTTCAAATTTTAATTTTTTTTTACTAACCCAAGATGTCATTTTAAATAGACCAAAATCAATTGTTCACAAAGAAGGGAATGAGTATTGAATAAGGGGTTAAGACGAATAAAATTAAATTTTGGGGTTCAGTTTTTAATCATGGGAAGTTAATTACTAAGCCCTTGTTTGAGCTCCATTATTTGAAAAAAATTGATTTTAAATAGTGTTTTTTGAAGAATGTGTGGTTAAAAAGTAATGAGAATTTTTTGTTTATTTGTAATATTATTTTATTGAGAGAATATAAGGTTGATAAAAGGAGAGAGAAAAATGAATTAAAATTTAACAGGGGTCAAACATGGGCTAAATATTATATAAAATAGAAAATAAGAGACCTGATTGTAATTTGGACTTAGCGGAACACTAAGTAACACTATATGGAACCTATTTTCATTTTATACAAAGAAAACTCTAAACCATCGATACAAAGATGGAAAGAAGGAAAAAAAGAAGAAAAGAAAAGGAAAGAAGGGAAAACCTAGTGCTGCCGCCTTCCTCCGCCCTCTCGGCGGCACTAGGTTTACAGAAAGCAAAAAAGGGAAAGAAAATAAAAAGAAGAAAAAAGAAAGAAGCAAAAACGGTGTAGTGTCCGGTTAAAACTTGGATTATCCGACACATATCTCATACTTATACCCATACCCATACCCATGTCATGTAGTGTCGTGTCGACACAGGTACTTCGTCCATTTCGAAAACCATAACGGGGTTCCTCATTTCATTCTCTCATTCAACCACGCATGAGACTTTCATCCAATGCAACTCCAAGTAATTTGAAAAATGTAAACAATGGCTCTTTAATCACTAAAGTGCTACAGGAAATTCTAGATGTCGAGGGCATAAACATAGTTACACAAATCAAGGTTATATAACTTCTTGAAAGCATGAAAATATATAAAACACGTACCTCTTGCCTTTGTAGACTGATTTGAGGAGCCAACAGAACAATGAGGCAATTGTATAAGCCTTTCTGCTGCATTGAGATCCCAAATCTCGACCTACACATAACAATACATGGTTTTTTTAAGTGCAATTTCAACTGAAACAACCTAGATAATGGAATATACATTGTCATATAGGATAAACTAACCACAGAAGTGTCCTCCCCAGCAACAGCAATATATTTGGGTACTTCAATCTGATCATCACCTGATAAAAATGTCCATTAATTGAGACGATTAACATCCACCAAATTAAGTTTATGAAAATACAAATAAGCTTATAAAAATCTAAAACATAAATCAATCATATAACCTCCTTCAACTTGTGTTGAGCTTTCCAATTGACTTCCCAGAAAGCTTTGGCTGTCTTTAGAGTCTTTCCTGTCCTCGACATCCTGATTATTCTTCAGGACTTCAGATTGCTTAATTTTAGCAGACTGCTTGCTTAACAATGAAAGCTTGCAGAAGTGGTAAGAATTTGTTTTAATTGAAGTTAATGGGTTCCTGTAAGCAAAAAAGCACCTTAAGATACCTCTATAGATGTCAAACTCTACTGCTCAAACATGGGATTATAAGAATACTAGTTTATGGCAAGAGGACAGTTAAACATGCATATGCCAAAAGAAAATCTAGCAGATTATTTTACCAGAAAGGTTAAAATCACTAGAATTGCTTAACCAAATTCAATGCATCTAGTCAAACAGATGTTATTTGTTTCTTGAAGTAGCTAAAAAAACCCATTTTCCTTGCACACCGCTCAATTCCATCTTAAAGCCATGAAAAAAAATTAAGAACTTGGGATGAGAATTTAAATGAAACATGGTTAAGAAAACAGTCATAAACTAAATGGCAAGAGGTGGAAACTAGAAGCCTTCTCTCATGGAGATTTGACAATTGAAGAAATTCAGGGCCACCAAAGTATTTTTGCTTCTATCACCACACTGGGGAACTGATTCTGTAACTTAAAGATTAAAAAATTACTAGCATCAACTTCTGTCCATGTCACACAGTTACCATATATAATAATGGTTATGACTTTTTATTTAAATCTTGGTAATGTTCATAGGAAGGAAGATGCTCCAAAGAAGGATAAAAAATTTACTTAAGTATTGCTGCTCTTAGTGCTAAATGAAGCAGATCCAACAACAGATCAAAGTATCATGCACGCAACACGGATAAGACACGACGTGGACAAGCTGACAGGTGTTTTTTTGGAAATGTAGAACACGGACACACTGGTAATAAAACTCACATCGCAACCCGAGATGGACACCAGCATTACAGAGATAGATAAGTACCTGGACAACCCCCCTTCTCCAACATCCCAATACTTGATGGTTCCATCCCTTCCCTGGCTGAACAAATTAGCAAATAAACCACCAATCACTTAGAGGAAAAACTTGTATCATACAAGTTTGCAACATATAAATGTATTAAAAGTTACATGAAATGCACAAGTCTATCAAACAGAATTAATGAGCTTTGTGTTGACAATGAATTTTTATACCATTCACTCCCCTGAAAAATGTTATGCATAATTATACTACAAAAATGTGATACACTGCAGCTATAACTTCGCTACACCCCCCACATGGTTCATGGACTGAGCACAAGAAAATACTTCACCTAATGATTTTGTTCTCTCCAAGCAAAGGACTGGCCGCAACACTAATAATGCCATGTGCTGCACTATGCACCCTGGCCCCGAAAAATCAGAAAGTTGGTTTTAATCAAAAACAAAATTAGGCAAAATAAAAACACCCATGAAGATATAATGTAAAACAACCATGATGATGAAATGGTTCGATGCTGTACTGAATCCCAAATGCGTAATTCGCCATCAGCTGACCTGTTATAATGATATACACGTGAATCTATTATTAAGCGAAAATTTTAGTCTACCTGCATACAGAAAAATAAGAGAGGAACCAAAAACTGTACCCAGTAAATAAAAGATTCTTGGAGGGATGGAAGCAAACGTCCGTAACGGAAGCCCGGTGGCCCCTCAGAACTGCCACAGGGTCTGGAGGAGGCCGCTTGCTCATTCTTTGTTCAAAGTCCTATCTTTGAAGCAATTGATCAAACAGGTAGGTAAATTACATGATTGAAGCAGAAAGGATATTTAATATTGAAGAATTGTTACATAAATATGTGTACAGACATCAAAATTACCTGTCAACAATAAATAGATAAATAAAAAGAGCGTGAAGATCAAGATAGCGAATCAAAGAGCATCGGCTTGCCCTAAGGCAATCAAATTCAATGGTGAAATTGTTTTATGGCCTTTAAATTTATGTTAATAATAAGGGCATAAATGATATTGTAAATATTTAGCGGACAACTAAAGGATTTTCATCGCAAATTGGTTTGCCATCAACACATAGTGCACTTAGGAGTGTTTAAGTGGGGCGAGCACTCACCGGCTCGGCTTGCGCCCAGATGAGCAGTGGGCGAGAGCTAACAACGAATTTCTCGTGCGAGCCGCTATCATAAGTGAGTTAAAAAGAAATTTCCATAAGAAAAAATTGGTTGTTCGGCCTCATCCCACAAAGGGGAGAGTCCTTGAGGCAGCCAAGCGGCACTTCGATGAAGTGACTTGGCTCACAAGGTGGGGTAAATCAAGTTCGGGAGTAGGCATGCCGAACGGCTATGCTTAGCCTATTTAAGACCACTAAGTAGGGGTGGGCGTCGGTTGGTGTAACACCCCGAAAATTTTAGAATAAAATTATTTGTTCTATATATTATATTTTATGATTTTGGAAGTTGAGGGACTAAAATAAAGTTTTAAATTCTTATGTTTTAAATAGGCCAAATATTTAACTTTTTATAGAGTGACCAAAAAGTATACCAATATTGGGCTCATTTTGTAGCTCGCATTAAATAACGTAGTTTGAGCTCGAGAAAATGTAAGTTCAGATGAGTTAAACCCAAGATATTTCAATTCAAAGAATTATGATTAATATATATTATTTTATTTTGTAAAAAGGTATCTTTGAAGTTAATTAGTAAAAGAAAATAATATTATATTAGATAATCACATTTATTTTTAATAAGGGGATTAACCATGCTGTTATTCTATTTCAGTTTTTGCACGTGTACTGTATATAGGCCCTGTTTGGTGTGGATTCTCAAAATTCTACAGTAAATCAATTCTCATTTTCAACCACACATTCTTCAATAAAATAATATTTTCCACCACATCAATAATTTTTTCTTCTTTTTC